CCTCAGCCTTCCGAGTAGCTGGAACTACAGGTGCGCGCTACCACGCCCGGCTAATTTTTGGTTTGTTGTAGGGATGAGGTCTCGTCAAGTTGCCCAGGGGGTCTTGAACCCGTGGGCGCAGGCAATCCACTCACCTCGGCCTCCCAAAGTGCTGGGATTACAGGCTGAGCTACCGAGCCTGGCCGGAAATTATATTCTAACACAAGGCAGACATTTAAGACTTTTCCTTTTTTTTTTTAACAATATTTTATTTTAAAGAAGTGTGGTACAATTCAGGATTAGGTATCAAGTGGACATTGTACAGGTAAAATCTGGGCCTCCGTTTGGTCCCCGCTTAGTTTGAGATCAGGCAGCCTTATTGTTGTGTCTCCTGTACCGCCACCCTGGCAGTATCCCGTTACACCTAATCCCTTTCTTATAGTATTATAGGATATCTACTTTTCAACAGGCATAATCTGAGGATATAAATGTGTGGGTCATTCCTACGGGAGTATATTCCTAGAGATACCAACCAATGAGCCCATCATTATCACATATAATAGGAGGCTGCTTTGTTAGCATCTCCCATATACACTTTTGGACAGCATTACACTCAGAACTCAGGAACTGAATTTTGATAATGTTAAAAAAAAATAGGCCTATTATCCTGTGCCCCATGGGTCACCAGATCACCGAGGTCTATGCTGGGGCTCAGGGCAGCCTCCTCACTTACCTCATCTAACAGACGGGCCCCTGAGATGCACACACTATGTCTATAATGCCTTATTAGGCAGAAAAGATCACATGGGTAAAGATGTTCATATGCTCAGAACAAGAGTTTTAGAAGAGAGGAAATGGGCAATGGAGTGTTCCTGCCAGAGAGATCTCCATGATCCTTGGTGTGGAACGTTTGGGATTAGCTGAGCAACGGTCAACAGGAGGGGTTGAGGAGGAGGTGTTCCGTGTAGTCCAGTTGAGAAAGGCATAGAGATTTAGTTTTCTCTCTCTAGGTACAGTCCTGCAGTATACAGTCTGCAGTCCTTTTACATCCTCTCCCCACCGATATCTAAAGGACCTGAATCAGGGAATCTGGCAGCTGATGTTGAAAAGAGAAACTCATCAAGAAAAGATATCAGATGCATCTGAGAGACTAGATAGAGAGTCAGGCAGAACACTAATCTTTCAGAGGTGGGAAGTAGTCATCCTTTATGCAGCCAGTGTAGATCTGGGCTAGTACCTGTATCTGAGGGCCTTTGTGTCAGAGAAGTAACTGCTGATGTACACAGACAGCATCACCAACTGATTTAATAGGGCCATGTCAGCAACAGCTTCAGTGAGAGAGTCTACCTCCTTCCTGTCTTTTCTACAAACATTTCATGTGGCTTTGTATGATGATAGGAGAGTGCTTCTACCTCCCCTTGGCCTAGTTCCAGGTCTTTCACGTTTCAAGCTGGGGGCCATGTTGATCTTGGGGATGATTTTTCTCCCAAGCATATACAGTGACATGTCATCAGTACAATACCCTTCTTATGAAATAGTCATCCCAAAGAGTCTGACGGTCAGGGAAAATGAAGACCCAGTGGAAAAGGCATCCTATATGTTGTTTCTGCATGGCCAGAAGCACTTGGTTCACCTGCAGTTGAAGAGAGACTATTTTGTGAGTCACTTTCCAGTCTACATTTACCACAGTGGCATCCTTGGGCAAGATGTTCCCTTGATCTCACGTGACTGTCACTATGAAGGCTACATAGAAGGAGTGCCAGGCTCGTTTGTGTCTGTCAACACCTGTGCAGGCCTCAGGGGCATCCTGAGTAAGGAGGGAACCTCCTATGGCATCGAGCCCATGGACTCCTCCAAACAGTT